AATAAGGATCTGCACCTGAACCCGAACTCGGATATATTTTGTGGAGAAAATTCAGTAGAGCTTCGCTTCCTGAACGATTGAAGAAGTGAAAGTGAGGGGGGTATATATAGGCCGAGCATTTCTAGCGGTTTTTCCCAGAACCGCTAGAAATGCCTAACGGTCTCCACCCCATTTACAGCGCCTCGGGAATTTACAGATATTTCTAGCGGTTCATGAAAAATCGCTAGAAATTTCTAGCTGTTTCTCTAAAAACCGCTAGTAATTTCTAGCGATTCTTACATGAACCGCTAGAAATTTCTCTCGATTCAACGACCACATAAAAACTCCTCGGGAAATTAAAACGTTTCTAGCGGTTCATGTGTTAACCGCTAGAAATGTTCCTAATCTAGCGGTTTATTGGCTTGAACCGCTAGAAAATAAACGCTGCAATTTTGGCGCCAACTTCCCGCCAAAACTCGGGAAATTTTCTAGCTCTAATTTTCTAGCGGCTAGGTTATAACCGCTAGAAATATGCGGGCAATGGTCAAAGCGTCGCTAGTTTGCACTTTGCAGCGGTTTTTCTTAAAACCACTAGAAATGTTGGAATTTCTAGCGGTTCAAACCAAACCGCTAGAAATGTTCCGCTGCTAACTCAACATTTTCTTGTAGTGCTATTCCTATTTATACATATCTATAAGAAATATGCAAACCCTATTTATAAGAAATATATATCATACGTATTTATGTTTTAATTAAATTTAATTAATATTTTAATCTGCGTAATTGTTGTAGTTGTTTGGAATATTAAAAGAAAGGCTACCAAAAAAATAATTAATGCTTTGGCAAGCTGCTGAAGGTCTTAGCACTCTGGTTCTTTTTAATTGTCATTTATAATAGTTTGTCACATACCAAGAGGATCATCAAATACATAGAATCTTCCAATTTTACCCTTATTAAATGCTAGTATATTTTTTCTCACCTATTTTCTTTTTCTTCACCTTTAAATTTCTCTTTCGTAATTAATAGGAGCAGGATTGAAAATGAAACATTAAAAAAGATAGAAGTGACAATTGAAAAGAAGTAAAATCTCCTCCTACAACTAACAATTAAAAAAGCCTACTCTCTCCGTTTTTTATTATAAGATGTTTTTAACTAAATTGCGCTGTTTAAAAAAGTTAAAATTAGTTAAAGATAATTAATATGTAGCAAATATAATTTTTTTCTAAATATACCCTTATATATAAATTGGTAAATGTGAACGAGTAATAGTGAGATAAATGAAAAAAAGAATATATTAAATACATTAAATTATGGATAAAATAGGTAATAATACATTAAATACTCAGACAAACTCAAAAAGGATCTTATAAAAAAAGATAAATTTATTTAAAAAATTAGATCTTATAATAAGAGACGGAGGGAACACGTAATAAGACCAATGGAAAAACTTCCTATAATAAATGCCGGTACATATCAATGTTGACAAATCTACCAAGATTGACTTTTGAGACCTATGCTATAAATGCGCGCGACATAACCATTAAATAAATATTTGAGTACCTATTGACTTAGTTGGTTCTTAGTACAGAGAGATGAAGAACAAATATGAGTTGACTTAGTGAGCCCAACCGAGTTGATGTTCGAGTTGGCATTTTGCACCCCATCAAGATGTGAATTGCCCCACCTCACACCAGCAAATGGAAGCAATGTCAGGTTTCAGTGTCAATTCTTGCCTTTCGCCCTCTATTCTCGCCATTTCAGGCAGAGATGGAAACAGATCAGATTAGGCCAGTCTTTGTTCTTAACTAGCCAAGCTTGTTTAGTAACATACTAATCTGAACCTAGCCTTTAGCTTGTAATAGGCTTTTTTTTTTTTTTTTCCAGTCTGAACCCGTTAAAAAAGCCTATAATTTTAAAATTTTCAAAATACATAATAAAAGATACATAAGCTAATAAAAAAATATAAAATATGTATACTGCATAATAGTTATTTTTTATTATTATCTTTTATTTGAATTTTAATGTCATGAGTAATATTTTAAATCTTAATTACAGTTAATATTATTGAAAACAAATTATAATTATACATTAAAATTTAAAATAAGACTAGACATAAGTATAAAATAAAAATTAAAAATAAGATAAAAAACAGGACAAACCAGGACTAACAGGCTTTTTAAAGAGCTTAAGCCTGACTTATTAGGCTAAACAGGCCATCAAAAAAGCCTGAGCCTTTTTCTATTTTTAAAAAGGTTAGGCCAGGCCAGGCCACAGGCCCTTGACAGGCTGTCTGGCTTATTCTCACCCCTAATTTCAGGTTATACCTTGTAACATTATCCCACATCATTAGAAAGTAATTAATTAATTCCCTTAATTATCTTTTGTCGCCTTAAGTCTTTAATCATATTTTAGACTTTTGGATTGGAACAAGGACAAAGTAGGAATTCTAGTAGAAACAAAGCTTGAAAAATTAAGGAGAAATGGTAGTTTGAGACTTGGATCAGAGCTCCGCCACCTAGGGCATGTTTTGGGTGGTCTTAGAAGCTTGTAAATCGTTGCGTGCTCTTTAAGTTTATTTTAAGTATGAAATAAGTAAATTTTATCTCGAATTGTATAAATAAGTACTTCTAAGGTGTGGGAAACGTGATCCCAAACAAACAAACAAACATAAGAAATTTTAAAGTAATAGTATTTTCACCCTTGGTTTTTTTTTTTTCCCCGCTCTGAGACTACTCTTTTTCATGGTTTAAGAGAATAGTTGAAGATTTTTTTTTTTTCATAACTCACGCACTTATTATATTCTTCATAAAAGCTTCGAACTCACAATTCTAGATTTAAGAAGGACTTAAAAGGAAGTGCTTGTTATCATTGGGCTACAATACTCTTAAGTAGTTAAAAGATTTTAAATGTTCAAACTTTCGAGTATAAGATTGAAATTTTTAAGTTGAATACTTATTTTATGCTTCTAAAGAGTTTTCTATGGCGATGAATATTGAATTATTTGGTTCCTTTCGAGCAAACCCTAGGTTTAGACTTTTGGAGTATCTGTGAGAGAGAGTGCTTAATATCACTTAAAGGAACCAACAAGAGTCTAAACACAATTTTCATCAAAGAAGTGTTCAAATAGAAGCCAAATCATAGTTTAAAAATAATTTTATGAAATATGAAGTAAGTAAGTGAGAAGAATTTTGTTTTGATTTTTGGCAAAATACTTTTGAAATGTGCTTTTTAGTTTAGCCAAACACTCCCTACATATGATGAAAAAATAAAAATAAAATTTTCACAATATAATCAAAATTAGTAAATTTTATAACACATTAAAAAGTCCAAAATTATACTCCCGGTCTTATTTATAAAGTTAATATTTTTCTTAGTTCTATTTATAAGTTACCTTATTTAACTTTTAGTCTAAATGTATTATTTTGTCCTTCATTTATTATAGTGTAGATAGTTTTTTTTAAAAGAAAAATGTATATATTAAATAAGGATAATGTTAAAAAGTTGCTATAGTTTAAAAGATAGTTAATGCAATTTAAGGCTTTCTTTAATTTATGTGAAACATATTGAAAATGTCTTATAAATAGAAAATTACTTATTAGCACTTAGATGGATAAAAATGAGATCTCATATGAATAACGAATATTTGTATAATATACATTTTAATTTAAAAAAAGAGTTATATATGTTTTAAAATAAAAAATAGCAGTTAAATAAAAAAGAAAGGTAGTTAGGATATTTTATTTATTTTTTAAAGACTAAATCATACAAAATTTTCTTAAATTATGTGACAGTTGCATATAACCACTCTAACATTTTAAAGTTTAAATTTAACTTCCTTATCTTTTATTATTTTATTATAGACCCCTTACTATTAACTTACCATTATTTTTTGAACAGAATTTGTCATGTCAGATTATCATAAGACACCTTGCATCTTATATGGCATTTTATCTGATATAATTATTTTATAAGAATTATATTATTTTTATATAAAGATTAAAATGTCATTTTGTCATTTTTAAAAAAAACCTTTTACTCCTTTTTATTCTTATATTTTTTATCAACATAAATTTTTAAATAACAATTTTCTTCTATTTTTTGCCACATAAAAATTGATATTTTAAATGATTGTCAAGATCTTAATAAATTTATTAAGATTGTGAATAAGATCATAACATTGTAAAAATGGTATTGTGAAAGTCATGAGTTGGTTTTGGATTTTGATAAGCATTAATGGAAGAAGGTTTAGTATTAAAATGTCATGGGAGTTATATACAACTAGCTTAAAGTTTAGAAAAGTTTTATAAAATTACCTTAGTTAAGATGTTATGTAAGATATGACGTAAGATATGAGGTGTTGATCTAACATGACAAATTCTGTTAAAAAAATAATAGTAACTTTAAAAAGATAATACTCCTCCGGTCCTTATTATAATACCCCATTTGACTTTTTATTTGGTCCTAATTATAAGACCCCAATCCATTTTGTCTCTTATATTTATGCATTTTTTTCCAAGATAACCCTTCTAATAATGATAGTTTTAGTCAATATACTTAATTAGCAAGGATATTTTAGGAATGACAACACTTATTTATTATAAATAACCAACTTAACTTACTTCCTTAATCTCCTCAAATAAGTCAATTGGGTCTTATAATTAGGACCGGAGGAGTAGTAACTTAACAATAAGGGGTTTATAAAAAAAAATATATACATCAGGGGTTAAATTTAAATTTTGAAATGTTGGAAGGTTTGTGTAATTAATCCTTTTTTAAATTACAGAGTTCATCTTCGCTCAAAAAAAATTACAGAGTTCATCCTAAATACAAAATTTACAAACTAACCCTGGCATTATCATCAAATTCAAACTTCAACACAACAAGAGAAGGTGGAGCCGTGGAGGTCGTTGCAAAGCCTTCGTATTTTTAATATTCTTTTTTCTTTAATTAAGGAGTTTATTTTAATTTCAATTTTGAAAAAACTGCTTTTAATTCCTTTTCCTCCAAATTTCCCGCCAAAAATGAGAATCGCCGAGATTTCAACGCCGGAGCTCCGGCGAGTTCACCAGGACACGGAGGTTCACCACCATCATCTTCTTTCCCAAATCGAAGCCTCTGTCAAGAAGCTCGAGCGCCGTACGGCCGATAAACCATCGCTGGAAGCTGTCACTTCCGATCTACGGCAATGTCTTGGTCAGCTGAGCCAATCTTCTCCATTCTCCAACTCTTTGAAGCTTCAGATTTGGAAACTGAGCTATCGCCTTTGGAATGCTTGTGTCGACATCTCCAACGCCGTCGCAATTCTCTCATCTTCGTGTTCCCCTGCCATAACAGCGGAAGGCCATGCCAAACTCCGACATATCGCCGCCGACCTCCTCTATCTCGCCACCGATGTTACTGGAGTTCCCTCTCCGGCAATAAAATCAGCCTCATTTTACTACAAGACCGGGTCCATTTGGCATCATCTACGAAATTTGGATCTCGCGTCGATCTGTTATGAGAGAGCCACCGATCTAGTATCCAAGGTCAATGTGGGCTCCATTTCCGACGCAGGAGAGAAAAGGCTTCTGCTAGATCTCAATCTCGCAAGGTCTCGGACCGCGTGGGAGGTTTCGGATCGGAATCTCGCGGTGGCCCTGCTGAACCGATCGAAGGGTTTGCTTTTTGGGTCTTCTGAACACTACAAGGAGCTCGCCAATCAGTTCTTGATGTTCGGAAAGGGCTTGCTGTCAAGGAACGAAGATGCTTGTGCTTTGAGTGAAGCTCTCAAGCTCATGAACGACGCTTTAGATATTTGTGAGAAGGGATTCAGTGCGGCGAAAACAAGAGAAGAGACAAAAGAATTCAGAGGCTTGAGGTGGAAGACACTTCGTTTCATTTCGGCAGTCCACTTGCAGAAGGAAGAGTTCGATAGTGTTCTGAAGTGCGTTAAGGTCCTGAGAGAGGCTGATGGTGGGGACGATCACCCTAGTCTGTCAGTGTTGGCCATGAAGGCTTGGCTAGGATTAGGGAGGCATGGAGAAGCGGAGAAGGAGTTGAGAGGAATGGTTATCAATAAGGGGATTCCCGAAAGTGTATGGCTGTCAGCTGTAGATGCATACTTTCAGGCAGCTGGAACGGCTGGAGCGGAGACTGCAAAAGGGGTGTTCTTGGGACTGCTGGGGCGGTGCCACGTCAGTGCCGGTGCAGCAGTGCGAGTTGCTCACAGAGTGGTTGGAAATGGCGGTGATGGTGGTGGTACTGAAGGATCAAGAGTGAGGGCCAAAGTGGTGGTTGATCTAGTGTCTGATGAAAGGGTTCTAGCACTGTTTGCTGGCCAGGCAGCTGTCAAGGATCGCGCGGCAATGCACGCTGTGTTGTGGAATTGGTAAATTCGTGTTATGTCCCTAATCGATTTCTTCTACGTGCATTGTTTGGAAGTCTGGCTTGTGTTATGACCTGTGTACTAATCCATCAGCTAGGTGTATAACTTATAAGCTCGTCACTTCGGCAAGGGTCTCCATGGGATTCCTAACCCTTTGTGCATGTGAACTTGGCTTCACTGACCTTGGTACTCTCTGTTTTAGGCAAGTCTGATTTGGACAATTTAGATCATATGCATACCCCGCGCATTTCTAAAGATGCGCTGGGAATTCACGTGTCAACTTGTATTAGAGATCTGTTGCGTGAGTTAAACTGGGACTTGTTTACAAGAATTCGTCACAGAGGATAGCTAAGATTCTTGACAAACACAGTAGAGCCATTAAATTGCTTATTCATAGTAGAATTGACATTTAGCAGTACCGCTGGGGAAAACATACTGAAGGAAATTCCTTGACTAATATGATTTGACAATTACTACATGTTTTTCTTGTCCAAATGAAGTTAGTGATTTCAATGCCCTTGATTGTGAATAACAGTGCTGCTGACCATTTTCAATCCAAAGATTATGAGACCAGTGCTGAACTATTCGAAAAATCAATGCTGTATCTTACATATGATACAGATGACAAAATACTTCGAGCCAAGGGCTTTAGAGTATTGTGTCTTTGCTACCTGGGGCTCTCAATTTTGGATCGTGCTCAAGAATACATAGATCAATCTGAAAAGGTATCACTGATGACAACGAGAATTTTGAGTTCTTTTGGATACTTTCCTCAAATATTAACTCATACTATATTACTGCTGAATTTTCATCTCTGCAGCTCGAGCCCAACATTGTCTGCGCTTTTCTCAAGGTTTGTCTTCGCCTTTCTGTCTCTCTCCCACCCTTTATGATCTTTCAGTGTGTGGACCCATCTGTGTGCCCGATAGAGAGCTGCATACACACACTTACACATGTGAACTTTGATGGCAGTCGAAGGCAGACTTTAACGACAGAAGCTGCATACAATCAAAACCATATGCTTCTCACTAAGATAATTTTATCAGTTGGCAAAGCATGAAAATTTACTTTGTCATATTTATTAATGCAGTTCAAAATATTTCTGCAAAAGAATGACCATGATGGTGCTACTACTCAAATACAAGCAATGACTACCTGCCTTGACTTTCAGCCAGATTTTCTCTCCCTTTCAGCTCATGAGGCTCTTGCTTGCCACGCTCTTCCTGTTGCTGTTGCTTCTCTATCATGTATGCTTAACTTCTATGCTTCAGGAAAATCCATGCCGACCAAAGAAGTAGTAGTCCTGCGAACTTTGGTCACAGTCCTCAACAAGGGGCAAGGCAATGAGCAACATGCTCTCAAATTCTTGAAGCATGCTTGCAAACGAGCATCTGAGCTTGGTCCTGATTGCTTCTTTGGAGAAGATGAGGCTGGAAGACGGGAATGGAATTGGTTTGCAGTGACTTCATGGAACTTGGGTACAAAAGCAGGGCAAAATAAGAATTACGAATTATCTGCTGAATTCTTAAGACTAGCATCAGACTTCTACGCTATAGCTGAAGGATCTGATCACGAAAACGATGTCATGGTTTGTAAATCTTTAGTACTTGCTGCATCAGCAATGATAGCTTCTGAATTTCAAAGAAAGACTGTAATGTCAGAAAATGAAGTCAAGCAAACTGTAGACTTGCTAGACAGAGCAGGGAAGGTATGGCATTGTTTAATTACTTCATAATATGGTGCTTGATGCACTTATCTTTTTGCAAAACAGAACAAGGTGTATCATACTACTACGTGTTTCCTTGTATGATATGTTTTATTATTGTATTCTGTCGGGCTTATCCGGCTCCCTTGTTGATGCAGATGCTGAAGTCATTTCCAGCTGGGACCTTTGTCAATGATGATCAAATCCACAGCTTTGAACCAGACCTTTTCTTCATATACACCTTCTGTGCTTATGACATACAAGCTAGACTAAATGACTTAGGATCACAGCTCTTTCTTGTGAAAAGTTTTGCCAGTTCAAAGGCCTGCAAACCCCAGTATCTCCTCCAGATAGGCCTCTGTGCATCTCAGGGAACTCGATCCAATCATGAAGTAGCGTCCTTTGCTCTTAATGAGTGCCTCTCGGCTTTCTTATCATCACCTTCTCCTGATTACCAAAATGTTGCTCTTGTTATCCGCAAACTTGTGGCCATAGCCAGCTTGCACAAGGGTGATACAGATGATGATGTTGTGTATAGCATGTATAAGAAAGCCTACCGAATAATGGTTGGTTTGAAGGAAGGTGAGTATCCCACTGAGGAAGGAAAATGGCTTGCCATGACCGCATGGAATCGAGCAGCGGTGCCAGTGAGGCTAGGTCAGATTGAATTAGGCAAAAAATGGATGGCTATTGGCTTAGAAATCGCCAAGCATGTTCCAGGAATGGAAACTTACAAGGCATGCATGGAAGATTTCATAAGTGGCTTGGAGAAAAATCCTTAACAAATGCATGAATCTCATTAATTTGGTTTCTTGTAGTTCCATGATGTACAGGAAAGGAGCCATACAAGTCCAGCAAATCTTATGTACGTTCTTGCTTTGGTAGTGCCCTAATAGGTTTACGGGAGAGTTTTAGTTACATCACTACTTTGGAATTTCTGATCCTTAACTGTATATAGATGGAAGTATAAATGGCATAAACTTTCTGTATTTTACTTATCCAATATAACCTTGTATAAGAATCTCGTTTTCCGTCCTCCGTTTAACTCTAATTGCTGTTTGCATTAAAGTCTCAGACTCAGCAAATATGATCAATACATAAAATGACACAAGTTACTGGGTCTCATAGCACAAAATATATCTCCTGTATTTCAGGACATATCTGAGTCAATTCAAACGTCATTTTTTCCACTTCATTCACACACACTGCTGTGAAAATAAAAGATTCATGAGCAACTTTGCCGATTATTAGACTGGTTGAGATAGTAGTTTAATTGTGACTGAACTAAAATCAGCCCAACCATAATTAAGATAATATAATGTAATTAAAATATATAAAAATGTTCATATATACCTTAAAAAGAGTACTTGGTTTTAAATAAGATCTTAATCTGTTTTGTCTTCTATCTTTTCCTGAAATATCCCTATTAATTGTAAAGGGTTTCTATCAAAGGATAATCCCAATCATACAATGCAGATGATTGAAGAAGATATTTTAGGGAGAGTGACATATATTTTTAACAAATAATCAATTTAACTAATTTTTTTAATATCTCTAAATTAGCTATTTAGCTTCTATATTAAGGATTGAAGGTAGTAATATTTAAATAAACAAAAAAATTAGTCTATAAGTAAATGATATATATATATATATATATTAAGTGATAAACAACACAATTCAATAAAGTGAAATTATTAAAAAAATAAATTTGATGAATAGTTATTTTTTTAATTCAAAATGATATCTTTTAGTAGAGGGATAAAATTCAGTTCGATTGATTCATACACAACTCTCAACTGTTAGAGAATCTTTTACTTCCTTTAAGCTTGACTTGAAAGCCTTTGTCCCACATATTTTTCCAGTTTTCCTTTTTATGAATCGACAAGGATCAGATCAAGATAAATAATTGAAATATAAATTTCTAGTTTGGTCGCTAAATTTCTCCCTATTTTCTTCACCATGTCTCAATCTGCTTCTCCTAATCTCTTACCCCCCAAACAGGCAAACTGCCAAGGGGGTAGTTCGTAATAGTTTCCTTGATACCATATATCTCTCCCTACGCACACACACATACACACATATACACATATATATATATATTGGTTGATATATTGATACATCCAAACATGTGAGTTCATATGCAATCCTTACGATGCGTAATGGTTTCATGGGGTTTCATCTGGATGATAACAGATCATCGTACACACGACTCTGACACATTCTCCATATCAGATTGTGTCTGGCCGTGGTCTCCAGATTTTGCTGCAGAAAAGGCACGTAGAATGGAACCCATAAAATCAGACTTGGACGTACTCACGATCTCTTTCCCTTCACTTGTGTTCCCACACAAAGTTTTCAATATCATATGGCCCTGACGTCCGACGCTGCCACTTCCAATATCCAAAACTTCAACCCCATCAACAACATTCACCAACACCTTTGCTCGCTCGTGTATATATCTTCTCTCTGATCAATCCAGTTCCATATATGTATAAGTGCTGTGATTACAAAGAAAGCAGTCTTTGAGTTGTGTTGATTGTATCATTGTTGAAGATTCCATTTTCACTCGGACGATATGACCCGGCAAGTGGAGGCACACCACTTCTGCAGCCACCTGAGAGTAGATGAGGCAGTACCTGATCTATGACCGGACCAATAGGCGAAGTTGATCGGAATCGAGTATGTGATATTGGAGAACCTGTTCTTAACACTGTCGGACAATGAGAAGAGGTTGTGGCACCCTCAATCACTAGTTCCGCTATGTGTATATCTATACTAATGATTGTGAATGTTCATGAAAGATTAGGTGGGTCTCCGTTGCTCTGAAGCTGATGATATGAACCACATATATGAGATGATCACTGGATTGGTGTATCCCAATTTTTTGATGAGGCCAAGTCCCCAGAATTCTTTATTGTCTCAGAGTAACAAAGCCATCAATGTCCAATATCAACTAGCGTTCGAAGGAGGAATGCGAGGAATCTATGTTGAGGGTTTTATCTCATCTTGCCTGAAACTGCTAATAAGTACTTAAAATAAGCATATGCAAACAACCCAAAAGTAGTGAAATGGTATGTTCAAACAAATTGTCAATGGGTCATGACACTGTGGTCCTGGAATTATTGTTTTTTAATTAATCAAAGATCATGTGAAAATAAACGTAAAAAAATTCCACATGATTCCTCATGTTGACCTATTCTAATTCATGAGCAGGTCATATGACAAGCACTAAAAAGATTCTAATATTGAGGTGGAACAATAATACATCGCATCCTATGATTCCATTGAACAGGTTGAAGTAACAAAGCCTGAGGAGAAAAAATGATCACTGTACAAAGAACATGACTCTCCTCTCCCTCAAACGAGATCTTCCAAACTTGATTAATTCCGACTCACAGGTCGAATCTAAGCATAAAGTCCAATTTTATTTCATTTTATGAAACTTCACTGGGAGATGATCTGACAAAATGAACAAGAAATTCTGTATTACCCTCAGCACCTTTGAGAGGGGACTCAATCCACCCTTTACTGGAGAAACCAAACTTCTCTACTCCCTTTATAATCTTCTCAAGGACCTGCATTACCCCAAAAAAAAAAAAAAAAAAAAATTTCAATCACCTTCATATCCTCCAGTATTTGCAAGTCAATATGTATCATGCAATGGTTTGTGTTTTCTTATGACTATGAAAGTGGAAAGAAATGCATTATAAATAGGATGAAAAGAATTGTGTACTTGCATATCAGGTTCCGTGAACTTAGTCGTAATCTCCTTTTAACAAAATTTTTTTTAAGACATCTAGAGATCAGATCAGACGGCCAAAAAGGACATACCTCTTGGTGGACCGTAGGATCTTTCACTATCCCCCTTTTTCCTACCTGCACAGAAGGTGATATTCCAAATTTAGAAATAGTGGCTAACATGTAAGCTCTATCTTTACAAGGGATTAAAACAACCATCACGGCATGAAGATTTTATAGGGAAAAACTAATTCTACTCAAATAAGGGGGGGAAAAGAATTTCGAACTTAAACAACATCTTTGATTGACTTGTGCAATCACAATTGATCTTTACCCCTAAATGCGCCAACCCCAGGGGTGGCAGGCAAGCAACATCATATTATTTTCTTTTAATGGCCAGTCTACTCCGATGGAATCAACTGGCTTTACATCATAGAAGAGAATATTGACCTGACGAAATATTTGCATTTATAACATGAAGCTAGGTTTCATACTTGTGATCTGTGAGCTTCAAATTGAGGTTTAACCAACGTCACCAATGCTGCATCTTCCTTCATGACATTGACCACAGCAGGCATGACCTGTCAAATGAATAATTTAACCAACCATCGGCAGAACAAGGACCCTATATCTGCGGGAAGCTTAGAGATAAGAGCAAAGCATGATTGTTTCTTACCCCATTCTTCTTTAATAACTTCTGATTATTTCTTTCTTCCTTTAAATAGTTTCTTGTCTAACTGTCTGACTTTGTGTCTTGTTCTTTTGAGTTACTGATTATTTTCCCCCTCAAACTTCCCCTAAGTGTTCTGCACACACATTCTCTCTTCGTTCAAGTTATTATTTTACTTTACCTTCATGATTCTTTGTTTGTTTTTTTTTTTTTTTGGGGGCCAAACTTTACCTTCATAATTCATTTGAACACAGAACACCAACATGTAGGATGGAATTATATAACACTTGGTAAGTTCATGAGCTGGGGTTGCTTACTGGTTTAAAACTTGTAAATTGTGATGCACCTGGGATGTGAGGAAAACTATCTAATACAGACATCATAAGACGGGCTGACAAAGTTTTGGATGATGCTTTAAGCATATCTTTCAAGTGTTTATGTCCACCCACATATCCGAGCAATATTTTCTCTAACTTTTCAATATTTTTTAAACTTGTAATTATGTGCACCACAATTGATGCTGCCAAACTTCATGCAATGTGCTATGCACAGTTGCCACAAGAGCCCCTGCGGCAAGGGTGCCTTAAATGCCATCAACATCTATGGGGCAAAGATGTAGGGAGAGTAATTCTAGTTTCCCCAGCCAATGCTTTTCTGGCATAGTGGCACACGTGTGCCCTTGTTGGCATTAGATTGCGGGTCTGATCCCGCCTGCTGCCACTTGTCACCACAAAAAAAAAAAAAAAAGAGCTCCACCCATTGAATGCAACTAGTGAACTCAACTAAATATGCAACCTAAGTACTTCCTACTTCCATTCTATTTGCAACATGATAAGACTATACAAGCCAACTTCCCAAACTAGAAAAAGTCCAGATTTGCAAAGTTTAAGCATAATGTTTAGTCAACGAATATATATATTTATAGCATTATTATGGCATTTAAACTCATTAAAATCCTTACCAAGAGAATAGAGATGAATGAAAGGTCTAAAGTCACCAAGTCAACTTTTTGTGGGAGTCCTGAAAGATATCTTAGATTTGTCCGTTCAATCACAGTAACTCGCTCATCTACACGAATTTTTTCAGCTACCTAAAAGAGGAAATAATCACCATGAACAAAGAATCGTAATATCAATTAATATGCGTCAAAGTAGTGGAAAGAAAATAATCACAGAAACTTGCTGAGCTAGACAATTTTTGTCATCACTGATTATAGATCGGTGACTATGTTAAACCTTTTTCAGGTGAAGCTATAAACCACTAAGATGGGAAACAGACGGAGAACACAAAGCAAAACATTACCTGCCCATAACCTACGTCAACTCCATAAACAAAAGATGCACCATACTGAAGTAAGCAATCAGTAAATCCTCCAGTTGACAACCCAGAATCAAGAGCTACTTTACCCACAACATCAATACCAAGCTGCTCAATTGCAGCTTCTAACTTATGTCCAGCTCTGCATTGACATAGGTAAGCGAGAAAATATTAATTTCACCTAAAATTGGTGAAGAGATATCATCAGGTCATGTATCTATGGAGCTTGATGGATTCACCTACATACATATTTTGGCACTTCAGCCTTTATCTCCACAACAGCTTTGTCAGACACTGGGGTACCTGCTTTATTTATCACCTTCCCATCCACGTATACTTTGCCTAATCACAAATGTTGGCTGTGTCATTAATGATTTAATTGATTTATTGATTTCATCACAGTGACTAAGTATACAATTGTAGATGACAATCTACTACCAACCCTGGTTGCTAATAGCTATATTCACATAGATATTTAGCATGAGTAATAAAGACTTGTTCAGAACGTTTACAGAAATAAATGGTGCTCAACCTCAAGTTGCAAAGAAACTCAAACTGGCTGCTACTCCAGTTTGATACATTGTAAAGAAGCGGTAAATTCAAAAATTGTGCTTAAATAGGCACTGTAGCATTTAAAAGTCAAATGATTTAAACCTCAGATCATTCAGCAAACAAACGAATCTAAAGGCAGGGACATAGTTTCTGTTTCTGTGACTGAAAAAGAGAAAATAAGAGCCTTTATCCAATGTGAATCCAAACGACACCATGACTGTAAAAATATTGCAACATGCACAATAGTCCTTAAAGTGCTGTTTTACTTACATTCCCTTCTTTTTTATTTCTCTAGGTAGCTAAAAGCCAATACAAGCTAAAGTTAAACGATCCAAAGCTTTGAACAGCACGGAAAACTCTGGCATCAAGTTAGTTTTGAAGTTTTAATAATAACACCAGGATTAAAAAAACAAAAGGTGACAGATAAATCTCATTCAGAAAAACAATCCAATACAAGGGGAAAAAATGGGAATATACAGCCTTCCAATAGAATCGTACCTTTAACCCTTTTATGGGTCCAGCCCATAACCTTTTTCGCTCTCTCATTAGTTCAAAATCAAATTGGGTGCCCTTTTGAAAATACTCTGATAGTCTAAATGGTTAGAAAACCTATCATACAATCAGAATTTTCAAAGCTGGTCTATTAGTCGTCCTTATACTAACATATAATAGCAACATCTAGGATGCCTATAGGCAACTAAATGATATTGCCAATATCCCATTAAGTGATGTAAAAAGCTGTACAAGTTTATTTTGATCGTTTCAATTGGCACCAGATGCCATACATAGCATGACACCTTAGAGAATCTCAACACAAGTGGCAGTCGTATAATTGCTGGAGAATAGCTTTGTCATGCATAATCAACAGAGAAGCATGAGTAACAGTTCAACTTGACATCTTTGTCCATAATATAGATGATAATCAATTAACTCAATGAGTTCCTTATAATTAGAATATTATAACAAAACCTCATAGAAATTTACTTTACTTTCTCGGAATTGCAAAAAAGGAAAAAAAAAACTAAAATAAAAACTCTTTGCTATACTGACGGCTTGAATTCAAGTGACTACTTTATAGTGTAACTTGAGTGGACTAGTTAAGAGAAAATCTATATACCAATAAAGGGAAAAGGGGAAAAATTACCTTGTAAAATCCAGGACTGAATGAAATTTCGACTGCATTGCTGGAATCTTTCAAGACATATCTCATCCAGCCTCTTTTTCCTAAAAGTTTAACAGAGTGTACTGTCGTTCAAAAGCACAAATAGCTTGATACAAAGAATTTCAGGATTGCCATAATACTTCTTTGGGGTGGAATAAAATATAATACAACAGAAAGAAAAGTAATATATATATCTATCTTATCATATAGAGTAAAAAAAAAAAACAAAATTCAATAATAGAATCATCAAAACAGAAAGACTTCTGGTCACATTGATTGCAAGTACTGCGCCGCACAATCCAAGGATCGCACATATCGTCAGCACTTCTTGATCCTCCAAAACCAAAAATTATGGTGTAAGCAAAAACAAAAGTCAGTTATTGCCCCGACTTGATTTTTAATTGACAAATATTCACCTTACTTCTCATGCTTCAAAGCCAATTTGAAAAGTAAGCAAAAACAATAACCCACCACTTTATCCTACCCAAAAAAAAAAAAGCATGAACATTATTCGATGCATCTTTGTCAATATAGTCTGGCATTCTAACAATACTTGTTCTCAGCATTAGAATTCCATTAAGAATGGAAGGTCACATGAGTGTGAACTTAGTGAACTGTGAAGAGTGAAAACTTGACATAGTCGATGGAGAAAGAAAAAGCTTACTTTTTCACCGGTTGAAGCTTTTCTGATTTTGCAGCAGCATAGCTCCGGAAGGAACCAGGAATTTGAACAGTGACCCATCTCTCTAGATAAATTCCAAGAATAACATCAAGAAGAAGATATTATTGAAGCCAAATATATCTTAGTACACACGTGAACTTGAAAATCTTTAGGCGTGAATTCCCTCAAACATGAATTCATAAGCAACGAACTTGAAACGCAGAAGAAAATAAAAGTATAGAAGAGAGCAAAAAGAGATTGAAGTGTCTGAGATTACCACGGTGCTTCAGGGTCTTAGATTGAGAAAAGAAAAGAAAGGTTCTGTCGTAACCCAACCCGCGGGTCATGGCAATGGGAGCTTCAGAAATTGTAAGGCCATTCTGGTTTCATTTTCTATTCACCTTCCGCTATAGCAGAACCACGAAGCCAGGACTGAGATACGCACCAATTTTGGATTAAAGAACAAGGCGAGGTCTGAAAATAATTGAAGAATGCTTCATCAGAACCTAACAAGGAGTGGGCTCTAGTTGGGCCTTCCGCACAAGTCATCCAGTCAAATATTTGAAGAAAATTTCATTTGTTTAAAAAAAAATTATAAAAAACGCATGTATAAAAAAAATTATAAAAGCACTGTCAACAAGAGTTTGTCCGATTAATCTATAAGTACATTTATAATGCTCATATAAAAATGTACGTATAAAAAAAATTATAAAAAATATTAATAAAAGTTGGTCTGATTAATCTGTAAGTATACTTGTAATACTCGTAAAACAGTTATAAATAACATGGAGAATTAATGCTTACATTTAATATTTTATAATGCCACAACAGCATTGCTTCTAATAAAATACATGCTTATAAAAATTTATAAAAATTGATTAATATAAAAAAGTTATAAAAAATTGATAATCACAAAATTTTTTGAATGAGTTTTAAGAATTAATGTTCAAATTATAATTCAAATGCCTGTTACTCTTATTTAATAACATGGTATCGTTTGAACATTTAATCGTCGAACGAGAAGGGTTAAGATTTGGGTTTCATATTTCTCTTTGAATGACAGTTATTTAAGAACCCAATAATAAAAGAAATTAACGATAGGAAATTTTTCAAAACTAAACTTTTTTTTGGAAGATTAAAATTATTAAATTTTTGTAAAAATAGTATTATTTTACAGGATAATATTAAAAAATATGGATAATAAGTTGCTAAAAATACTAATGATAATTTAAATTATTTATAATAATTCTAATTTTAATTTATTAATATCATTAAAAAAAAAATTTCTTTTTCTTTATGATTGCTTTTTCGTTTTGGCATCAATTTAACGACTGGTCCAATATGCCACTTCTCTGAGGAAAAAACACACGTGTACACGTACGTATAATGGGTCATGTGTGTGTATATATATGCTCACCCAATTAGAAATGAAAATAATACTAGTATAATAAAAATAATAAAAAGCAATGGATTTCGCGCGGGCGAGAACCAGGAAATTCCTATCGCTTCCCTTTTCATTTTCAGATTACAATCAAACGTAACGGTTTTTCCACTACGCTCTCTTCTTCGCTCTCACTCTCCAACTACCACAAGTCCTTCTTGCTTCTGCTTCTCCATGGCAGTTCGAGCAATCCAACCTCAAACATCTCTCCTTTTCTCTTCTTCTCCAACAGCATCTTCATCAGTTCGACGCTTCCGTTTCCAATTGGTAGTTTCAAGCTCTTCAGAAAGTCTCCCAAACTGAGGTGCAGATCGAGCAGCAACAATGGCGAGGAAGTATGTTTATTTAATGAACATCTCAAATTTTCCTCTTTAAAACTTTCAATCAATAGTTCGATTGTTCTGTTTTAGGATTATCTCCTGGATGCTCCGGTTTCGGTCGGAGATGGCTTCTCTTTCAGTGGAGGTACTTTTCAAATTCCATTTCGTGCTGCTAGGGATGAAAATGCGATGGCACCATTTGTTTCGTTTTGAAAAGTACATAAGAATAGTTTGCGATCTTCGACAGGAAATATTCAGACGAGCCGAGTCCAAGTGATGAATGGTTTAAGCAAGGAGAATGGTAAGCATTATAAATCACGTCAGCATAAGCTTAATACTTCGGAAGTTATTAAAAAGTGTTTAAGACGATGCATATTGTTGCCCTATTCCCCCGGGGGGGGGGGGGGAGAAGTTATCAAGACATAAAAACTCCCAAGATTCACTGTGGAGGGCTTTTTTTTTTCCCGCCTAAAAGAATTAAAATTTTTTAAGGTGAAAGCCCATTCAATTCTGGGCGCTGGTGAAAAGGCTAAAGATCCAATCTTTGGGCTCACAATGGGGACTGGTTCTCAAGCCACTGGTGATCTCTTCAGGTAAAACACTTATCGCGTGTCTGTGGTGGACAATAATCTTGTTTATTCATGCTGAAGAAAATGGAAAGAACAGAATCGGAAAACCAGATGCTGATTTGGTTTTTGGAGTCAGAACCATCATGCATTTGTATAGAATGCATAAATATGTAAAGACAAAACAGATTTTACTCAAATTTTTAGGACCTAAGGCCAGAAGAAATAAAATATTTCCATAAATTCCATGGCACTTACCAGTTACTGACTGAATCATATTTTGTCCAAACGATTTTCTGTAATAGATGGTTTTGTGTTGAAAGCGGAGATGCTGATAACCCTTCAGTGATATTAGTCCACGGTTTCCCTTCACAGGTGAGTTGTAATTGTCAACTATGATAGGAGCACCTCTCATAGTATGATGTCACGTAGACTTTTCGCAGTTGCTCACATCAATCTAACTCATATGTCAAATTTAACGCCAAGTTGTATGATAAAGTTTCATATTGTTGATTCCTTGCTAGTTTCCATTACATAATGTTCTTTAAAGCTTTCAGCATGGAACCACATTATTAAGCTGTTATGTTTTACTTCTAGCCACCTTCTTTGCTTGGAGCAAGAACAAGACATAGACTCATCAGTTCCCTACGTGCTAAAACTTAAATTTTATATAAATGGGATCATGAGCCTAAAACTTCTGACGAAATGATCTTAGAAGCTTTTAAATCTTGCAAAGAACCCTCAACCTAAATCCTTAAGTTGCCAGGTGAAGTTATCAGGCATGGATTTTATTTCCCAAACTTTCTTAGATGCGCAAATATTAATATGCATACCTGGAGTTACTCTGTCCCAGATTATTTATATTGATGACAAATACTTGTAGTGGCAATTTGATGCTGCTGACAGGCATATTCTTATCGCAAAGTTCTTCCCGTGCTCACTAAGGACTATCATGCCATGGCTTTTGATTGGCTGGGTAAGATTCCAATTTTTTTGTCAGAAATGTTATCAGAATTACTTTGTTTCTGTGTTGGAGATAGTTATGGAAACTTATGTCCAATGCTTTCCATCGCTTCATTCCTCGTCTATTGGGTTTCCAGTTGAAAAAATTGTCAAACCAATAGTTTTAGAAGCCGAAAAATGTGTTAGGGGTTCCTATTGTCATATGAGGCGAGAAGATGACAGAGAAAGTAAAACCAAGGAGAATGATAAAGAATTACTAAAGACCCCAACAGACTATGAGACAAGACATTAAGCAGTCTAAGGAGTAGCTGTTGTCTGTTGAAATGTGCAGCAAAGAAAGAGCTCTTACTATTGGTGGGAGAATGAGTCTTGGTACACCAATTTGGCTTTGACTAGAGAAGAAAGAAGAAGCATTTTACAGAAATTGGGCTGGCAAGTATACCTTTTAAGCCTTGAAGACCCCTCTTTCCGAATCCTGTTGTTTCACTTGCTGGAAATTTGCCCTAATTGTGAATCCCTTCACTGAGCATATCTATTGCCTTGAACTACTACCATCCCCAACGATTAATAAGACCAGGTAGGTTGTGGAGGTAATGAGTCCTGGCTTGCCAAACTCAGTCACTTCTGGCATTTGAACCAGTTACGTCTATTACACATATGTGTTCTTCGGGATGTTTTCCTCTCAAAATGGGGTCGTCCAGATGCTCAGAGACATTGGTTGTACAACCTATTTGGTGCATTTTCTCATAAAAAATAAAAGGTACAACTTGGAGAAATGATGGAACAATCTGAGTCTGAACTATGTAAAGGAATGGAGCACTATTATTGATACTAGTGAGGGGATGAAGGATTTGAGGAAAGCAACTTTGGTCTTTTTTTCAATGTTTCTTTTTGCCAGTTGGCATAGAGGTCATGCCTTATTTAAACTTTGTCCTTCCATTCTACTGATTATTCCCCATGAATAAGATGTTTGTGACTAGTGAGTATGGGAATGTACTTGGTGGTTTGTTGAATATGAACAAGAGGGTTTGTCCAAACCCAGAAGGCCTTGACTTAAACAATAAAACAAATAATATGTCAAGAGATTCATTATTTTTGTCTGAGATGCATTGGTCATGTGTAGTCGTATTCTCATATGTTTCTTCTCACAGCCACATCACGGGTTAACAAATGCACGGTGAAAGGATCTGTAGTTGACTTAAATATGAAATCCTATACGCGTTATACCTGAAAGTTCTTGTTTTTTCCTTTGGGGATCATATGCAATCTCTTTTAGAATTTGAGGGTTGAAATAATGCTCATCATGATTAGCCTTTGGCTCTTCACTGTTAGTAGTATATCATTGCTGCACTTTGTTCTTTTCGAGTTACGAATTGAGTGAAAATGTCATGAAAAGCTGTCATTCTGAGGTTTTTGTCTCCAAAAAATGCACATGCTGACAAGTGATTTCCTTGATCTTTTAATAGCTTTTACTATGAATTGTTCAACTGTTTCTATGAAGGTTTGTTTTTTTTCTTTTGCCAGAACTGTTGTTTCCTTAATTTGTTCTCCTTTTTCAGGATTTGGATTTTCTGATAAGCCTCAACCTGGATATGGTTTTGACTACACTCTAGATGGTAAATGCTGTGGACCTTAACAATATTCAATACTTGTATTTATTTTCTTTCTCGGGGACATTCCTTGGTTTGACAATTCAATGGCAAAAGAGCAACTGTACTCCTTACTCCTTGCAGAATATGTATCATCTTTGGCGTCCACTTGTCATGAACTAGCTGTTGGTAAAGTATCACTTGTAGTTCAGGTAAATTTGCGTTCATTGGTAAGAATTTTGGATTTGTTAATTTAAACTACCTGTTATCTGAATTCAATGGGAAATCCTTCAGCTGTCTGTATTCGCAGGGCTACTTTTTCACCAGCAGTTTTAAGTATGCGAGCTTGCACCAGGAAAAGCTCAACAACTTGATACTCATTAATCCTCCTGTACGTACATCCTTTTGTTCTTGCAAAAAGATTCTTCTGGTGTTATGCTACAACTCCTTTTATTTGTTGTAATGATTTTTCGAATTGACTTTGGCTGGATTTTCAGTGTATTAATTTACCCTACTTTTCCTTTTGGATTTTCTGTCTTGAGTGTGGTTAGACTGCATGATATGTTAGTATATGACTGTTGAAAGCACATCATAGGCTTTTGATTTTTAAGTCATCCAATATAGATATATGTGGTCTAAACAAATATATTTTGCAATATGAAGTATCAAGTAACATTT